GTATTTTGCACCTATGAGTAAGATGTAAATTACAGAAACACTAAGGCAAGCCACCAGGCAGTTCCTCACATAAAGTGGTCCCTGAAGACACACAGTATACCTGGGCATGAATTCTTTGCAACATTGGTTATGCACTGTCCAGGGACCTGTTTGAAAGCAGATTACTCGTCTCAGAGTACCAATTTGGGTTCTAGTTTAGCTGTGCTTGGGGCACTGAGAAGTACCCATATTCACAGCATAGAGGCTTGACAAAACAGAGAAGGATTATTGTGGTGCATGGTATTTGTCAGTGCCGCTCTTCTCTGTCCCTACATACTTGGGAGCTGGCTGCAATGTTCTCCCAAGAGGTTTTTGTTACAGCATGTATTACTGTGGCAAAAATAACAATAACCTACAATTTGGAGCAGGGACCAGACTAACTGTAAAACCAAGTAAGTAGGGGGAGTGGGCCAACCTCAAAAGCTGACCTGAGTGGGTGGCAGTGCTGTTCTGTGTTGTTTCAGTGGGATTAAGACACCACTACTCCCAGTAGGATCGATGTACTTGTCTTCTTTGTGCTTGAAACTCTGAGCTGTAGGTAGTTAATGAATTCTGGCAATCCCAAGGATTAGGTCAATAAGAACTAGTAATTTCACTGGCTTCTTTATTAGCTTTAGATTGCAGAAATCCTAAGGCTATTATATAGAACCCATACCTTATGACAAAATAAAGAAAATCAGAGACCAGATTTTCCTCAATAAAAAAAATTCCCCTCCACTCCAAAAAGAAACCTTTTAGTGGTTTGTTTTTTTCTTTAGGTTTTTTTGTTACTATTATTCTTTGCAAAAAAAATTATACATATTATACATATATGACTGTGAGGGTGGCTTGGTGCTATTGGTCCCCAAAATAGCCACTCTCTGACCCCAATGTTGACCACGTTTGCTAGGTGGCATGTCTCCACCTGACTTTGTTGTTGTCCTCATAAGTCTTAAGCACAAACAGCCCATCAGAACCAAGTATTATAGAAACAAAACTGGCAACTTAAATTTAAGTTCAGGTCTCTCTCACAGCCAGCTGTTGCTTTTAGAGGAATGTCCTAACCTTGGCAAGGAGCTGGTAGCTGAGGCTGCAGTGTGGTGGGACTTCCACCAGAGGGGAAGTTAATCTCACTTGCTTGGCCTCCTTCTCAGCCCTTCCTTCCTACTGGTTATTGTAAAGCCCCATATGACTGTGAATTTTGAAAGAGGCCAAGGAAAGCTCATCTTTGGAAAAGGCACTAAACTCTCTGTTACACCAAGTAAGTGTTGAGACTTTCAAAGGCTGCACCAGTGAGTGCAGCTTAAATACAACCCAGAGCGAATAAGAAAAATTCGCCAACCTTTCTTTCTGGGGTATCTTCCCCGTCCTTCACCCACGAACCCCACAGAATTGCTCCTGGTCAGTGCCTTGGCTATGCCCAGTCCAGACTGGCACTTCCCTCTGCTGGACATGGGCAACTCTGGACTTCTTAACACATAGCAAAGCCCTTTCTCCCCAGGATGGCACTTCTTAGGAGTGACTGCCCACCTCACTGTGGGGGATGGAAACCTTTCAGCACTGGTCTCATGGAAGTAGGAAGCTTTATTTACACCATCAAGGACCCTGGGTTAGTCACAATTTGCTATAACTGCTATGTGATTTTTACACATTAGCATTAACAGGGGAATTAGAGGAGGAGGAGGAGCAGAGTTGCTCCCGTGAGGGGTTTTTGTTTAAGGAGAGAACACTGTGGAACACAAATATCGGGTATACTCTCAACTTTGGCAAAGGCACCTCACTGCTGGTCATACCCGGTGAGTTCTTGTGGTTAACTAATTATCATTTCTGGAAAGAAATCCAATGGGGCCTGTTGAAACACAGCTAAATTTAATTGCTTCATTGAGCATGCAGTTGTTAACTATGTTGGATGTGTGAGCAAGATATGAATTCATGTTTCCCTAGAGGCTGGATTTGGTTATCAGGTCTATGGGCAGTTTGATAAATTGTACTAATACTGCAATCAGTGTTTCTCAAAGGTCCACAAAGCACACTGTGGCTTTGGGAAAGAGGCAGAGATAAGAAGAAGAAAAGCTTTGTGATAAAGACAGAAACAAACTAATAAAAAGAGAGGCTACCAACGCAGCAGTGCACAGCCAAGGAAGCATGTCCTTAATAGATAAGTGATGGGGACCCAGTGCACAGCCAGGGAAGCGTGTCCTTAACAGATAAGTTATGGGGACCCAGTTGAGTTTATGCCTTGTCATCTGGCAGAACTGAAAAATAAGGTAAGTGGGCTGAGGATTCAGTAGAAAGGAGAGCAGTTAGAAGCTTCTCGTGTCTTCTCCTTCCGAGAGGATGGCAGAACAGTGGAACTTGCTCTGGGGACAGGATAGTCCTGGATGTGTCACATCATGGGTTTCTTTCTCTTTGGACATCCCCTTTCTTCACCCCAGAAATAAGTTCACCACTTTACTTCGGCTGGCTGAGTCAACCCTATGGCAGGAGCAGAGAATCACAGTGTCTTGGAAGGCTTCCCACCTCCACTGGATTATCTGTGATGAAGCAGAATGTTTATCTGAGTTGTGAAGCTGTCAGGAAGAAAGTAATAGAGATGGATGATAGAAAGCAATGTTGAAAATTTACAGACTTTCCACCCTTGCAGAGTTCAGTGGGGTATTTTGATGTTTCTTCATTTGCTTTTTTCTCTTAGAATTATAAAAACGAGTACCTTCTGTGAAGGCACACTATTTACAGAAATGTCTGCCTGCCATCTCACATTTCAGTAGTATTTCATCAATAATCCTCAGTGCCTGAACTAGATGTGGCAATAAGGTAATGGGCTGATGTGTTCACAAATAGAGTTTATACATTTAAACAAGTGGCCTAGTCAAAGCCAACCGCCACTGTCCCTAAAGGCCACAGCATTTTCTTTATGTAGCATCCATGATGGCTTCATTCTTAGAAGGCAGATTTCACTTTTGTTAATAACCAAAAGCTTTTCAGAAATAAGACTTATCAACAGACAAGGGACTCAAGCTAGTTGCTGGTACTGTATTGAATCCAAAATAAGGTATAACTATAAAGTAATGTCATTGATTTGTGTGTTGCTTCATAAGCTGATTCTCAGAGAAAATCCTGAAGGGAATGCTTTGGAAGGTCCAATAATCATTTAGATGTTTAAGTCCTACTACATTAGCTAAATCAGCCTCTTTACTTAATAAACACACTTAAGATGATGATAGCATGAGACTGAGGGAGTTTTGTAAACTCACATCCAATAGAAACAGGGAAGACTGTCTGCATCCTCATTGGGGATGGTACATATGACATCCTACTGGTAGACAATAGAGCTACTCCAAGAAATGGTTTACATAAAGACATGTAACACTGTGACTAACACAGGAATCAACAAACATGTCTTTGGCAAAGGCACCAGGCTGACGGTTTTAACAAGTGAGTATTATAGGCAAGACAAACTTTATTTCAAAAGTTGTAGGTGTTCATACTTAAGAGATAAGAGAAAGTAGAATAAAGGAAGTAGTCATTATAAATTATGGAAGCTAAAATCATTGCTACCTGAAGTGACAGTTCTGAAAGCAGAGAGAGTTCTGAGATCACCATGATGGATTATCACTAATCTCCTAAGAACTGCATTCATGATTATAAGAATGTTCTTGAAGCTCAGCATGGCAGTAAGTGCCTCTAATCCCAGCACTCAGGAAGCTGAGGTAGAATGATCATGAGTTCAAGGCCATAGTAAGACCCTGTCTCACAAAAATTGTTTATGAGTTGAAGACCTCAAGATAGTCCTCTTTGCACAATAGGAATTTTGTGCTCTTTACTTTTTTTTTTATAACTATATTCTCAGTTCACAGTTTTCACTTGCTTTTCCTGTCTTTCTCTATGCCTCTCTCTCCCTGTCCAATTCAGTGCCTCATCTGATATTTGTATTTTGAGAAATCATCTCAAGGGAAAATCACATCGTCTACCTAGCCTGTCACTCAAGGATTTCTAAAATCTGGACACTTTCTGGGCTCCAATTTTACTTTCAGCTATTCTCTTTTACAAATGTTCTACACCAGAAACCCTGGGCACTGCTTCCTCTGAACATTTACACCTCCCCACACTTGTGCCTCTGTCCACACAAGCAGACATCCTGGACCCACCACCTAAAACAAGGTAAACAGGTCAAAAAAAATTAGAGTCCCATCACCATCTCTTAGCCTGGACACACACACAGCATAGCTGTCACCAGACTTAACTTCTTAGGGATGTTTGAGAAATTATATACTGGTTTGGTTTTTGTTTTTGTTTTGTTTTGTTTTTATGGTACTGGGGCTTGAACTTGGGCCTCACATTTGCTAGGCAGGCACTCTGCCACTTGAGCCACTCCAGCCCAAGAAATCATATATTCTTTTAAAAAGTTAAGGAGGCCAGAGTAAAAGACCCAGCAATCCCCCGCAAGTAGTCCATTCCTAAATGTCAGTTGTTAAACCTCTGGTCCTCCGTGTGACCCATGGTGAGGAAAAGAGAGGAGGCCATGCTGACATGAAGTTGTGGACTCAAATCTTCCTTCAGGGTATGTCAAATTGAGAGAGGCTCAAAAAGTCATGTAGAAAGAATGAGAGGTGCTGCCTTCTTAATCTAGGAGTGTGATTTCAGGTTAGTCCTACAGTTGTTATCTCCTGGAGAAAAGGCAATAAGAATGGAGAAGTCTTCCCCAGGACAAGGATAAAAAGTGGTAAAAAGTCCTTTTTCTGGTAACCATCCAAGCCAAGGATGGAAAGATGGAACTGGAGTTGGGGGTGAATTCCAGAACAGACCATTACATGTAACTGTCACTAGTTCTGGGCTCTGAAGAAATGGGCATCTTCTTAGATATTCCAGGAGCCAGACCTTGATCCAAGGTCCCTGGCTCCAGCACTATATGGTGTGAATAAATACACTGACCCCTCTTGTCAAGTGGGCAGAGATAGCTTCCTTCAATCCATCCCTCTGTGATGACAGTCTCCCTGACTGCTTTTCCTTTGGTTCCATGAACACTTTATCCAAATGAAGTATATGATTTTTGAAACCCTACAGAATTATTATCTAAACACCAAAGGATGTGCTAGGATTTTGGCAGTCAGTATTCTGGGCCAGTGCAGGAAAACTCCTTCTTTAGAATATTTAGAAAGAATATCCTTCATTTAACCAACATGGAAACAGTCCTGAAATCCAAGCTGGTGCTAGCATTCAGTGCTAGCTATTACCGTGACAATTACTTAATATTCTCTGTGCTCACCATATCGCTCCTTCCAGAAGATCTTTAGGGAAAACTTAGTTCAGTTTCTAGGAGGTTTTTGCTGAGCTGAAGATCACTGTGTGAATAATAATGCAGGCACCGCGCTCACATTTGGAGGGGGAACAAGGTTAATGGTCAAACCCCGTGAGTATCTCTGCTGAATCCATAATGAATGCTCTAATTTCAAAAGGAAACCATAGTACTAAACTCAGTTTTCTGTTTTTGCCACTCCATTTTATTTTTCATATTAATTCTAGTGATTATTCAGTACATATTCATGTAAAAATGGATACATATGTAACTGTCTGGCACAGAAACAAATGTACTGGAGAAAAATAGATTCCTTGTCCTTTTTTGTCTTAATCATTTGGGACAGAAAGTCTGATGGTGCTAAATACAGGAATGGGTGAGCACTGGAGCTGGAGAATCCTGTAGCAGCTTTGTCAAGACTTCACTACTCCTTACTGGCCTGACCAGAGGGCAGTTTAGTCTGGAGGTGGAGGGATAACATTTAATCTCAGACACGCCTTTCCACCAAGACAATACCGTGAATTGACCACCATAATAAATAGTCTTCCCCACTGCCTCTCTGGCCAGGATGATTTCTGGAGGAGCACGCAGTTGGATTTGTGGATTGAGAGGGATTTCCTGGTACACATTGGCTGGTTTGTTTCTGTAAAGCTTTCTAGGATCGGCAACAATCGTAAAGTGATTTGGGGATTGGGGACAAGTCTGGCAATAAATCCAAGTGAGTCTTCATGTTAACTCTCTCAAACCCATTTGTGCAGTTTGAAATATCTCAGAAGCCACCTCCTTTTTAACCCTAACGTTTAAAATGTCCAGTGATGGCTAGTATTTTTGTCCTGCCCACCAAAGCTGAATCCTTGCCTATTCCTCAATCAAAATAACTAGACAGGAGGATTAAGAAATGCAGAGTAGGAAGACAGTTGGAGTATTAGACTGTTATCTTACAGAACAACTGGGTTAGCTCATCCCTTAAAGGGCTGTCAGGGAGTGTTGAAAGTTGGAGAAAATGAGACTATATGTACCTTCCTTACCATCCTTCCATGGCCATTGATAAATTCTCTACAGCCAAAGACCAGTCAATGCTTCTGGAACTCTCAGGACTTGGGGTCATCTCAGTGACCATGCTAGAGAACATCTCCTCACCATGGATTACCCAGAATGACTCAAACTGACCATATGATTCCTGTATCTCTACTCTCTTTGCCTTGTTGTGACTTGCTAAAAGTAAGAAGAAAGGAGTTGGTTTCATTCTAATTCTGTCCTCTCCTGAGAAGTTATTCTCTCCAGAAATTTTTAGGGGTAGCTGAGAAACCACTTAGGCTGCTCAGAATTTGGCTTCACATAACCAAACTGTGTCCCCAGCAGGGTTTGCTAGGGCTTCAGTAGGGACAAGGTCCTGAGTCTAGGTCCTAAAACTCTAAACTTTAGTATTGGGAGGGGAGGGGAATTGCAGTGGAGCCAAGGGGCTTCACAAATGACAGCTTTCATATGGACATTAGTTTATTTCTAAGTGAGCTTTTAAATGGTCTTCTATGTGCTAACCTGAGAAGACTCTACAGGGAGAATGTCGCTCCTGCATTTGCAGCTCTGAACGTAAGACAAGTGCAGTAAAAGGGGGCAATTGTAAGGTCAAAATGAAGAGAGTGGGCATAAATTTTATTGTTAAGTTTGTAAAATGTAGGCTTTTCAGAAAAGCCACCTCAAGGTATATTTATTAGGGTCGATGAGCTAACTATTGTGTCCGAGTTACTGGTATATATTCTTCAAAAGAAAACCCGAAATAGAAAAGACTATAAAATGTATGGTGTGGTGGTTAAGCACATGAATTTGGGAATTAAACTGCTTGGGCAAATCCCAGCTGCCACTTACTAGATGTGTGACCTAGGGTAGGTTGTCAATATCTTCATGCCTCACTTTCTTTATCTGTAAAGTGGGATAATAATGGTACCTAGCTTACTGAGATGTTATGACATTAAAAGAGTTAATACCTATAAAGGGTTTTGTAGGCCAGCTATGCTGGTGCAAGTCTGTAATTCTAGCATTCAGAGGCAGAAGCAGGAAGATATCAAGTTCAAGGTCAACCTGAGCTTCATAGCAAGACCCTGTCTTTAAAAAAAAAGAAAGTCTTTGTATAATAAGACATAGTAAGTCTTCATTTCTTTTAACATGTTTTATTATTGCTAGATTATGTTGCTAGAGGGAAGGAAGGAAAAATACAAATGATTCCCACTGACAGTTTTTGTAAAGTGCAGCAATACAGTGTGACAAGCAACACAGGAAAACTAACCTTTGGGCAAGGGACAGCTTTGCAAGTAAAACCAGGTAGGTCTGAATGTTCCTAAGTGAGCCACAACTGTCTTTTATATTCATTTCATTAATCTTCTCTGCCTTTTCAACTTTTAACACTTTCATATTTAGATTTCATTCTCCTTGTATGAAAGTATGTAGATTGTGTGCAAAGTGGCTGCTTGGTTTTAGCTAGTGGCAAAGCAGGGGACAAAACTTGAAGTGAGTTGGATCTGAAATTTCTAGGCAAAAACTAAGAGAATGTAAGTTTGGCTGGCTTGGAAGAAATAAAAACATCCAACGTGAGTGGATGTGATTTCACATAATAGTATTCTAAAGCAAAAGTCACCACTGTGGCCACCAGAATTCTTCAAGCACTGCCTTTCAAGGAGAGAATCAGTAACTAGAAAAATGGCGAACTTTTGTTTGAAAAAAAATGGGGGAACAGTGAAAGGGGAGTGTTATTTATTTGGATATTTTGTTTAAAAAGTAGAATATAGTACTTTTTATAGGATGGTCTTTAAAGGGTTATCGCCATATGGAGGTCAAAATGTGTATAGTATACCCCTGGTGAGCTATAGAGGAAGAAAATGTAGCAGAGTAGGAGTGTTTTTGTACTGGACAGAAACACTGTGCCAGTTTCTGGAACAAGCAACCTGATCTTTGGAACTGGAACAAGACTTGCTGTTATTCCCCGTAAGTTCTTTAGCACTTTAATCTATAATGACCAGTTCCCACATTCCAGACACTTAATGAATTTCTAAACACTTCGGTGTGCTAACCTGATAAGACTCTCCAGGGAGAAGGTCACATCTACCTCTACAGCTCTAAGTGTAGAGTTGCAAGAAAAATTGGGAAGTGTCAATTGCAATACCGAAAATGAAGCAAGTGGGATGAATATCGGGGCAGTTTTAACGTTAAGTTTATAACATGTAAACCTTTCATAAGAACTAACTCAGGCTACATTTATTAGTTCGTGTCTACACAGCACAAGTGTCCAGTTAATTTGATTACCATCAGTAGCTGATCCAAATATTTAGGCATTTTCTTGAGCAAACTTCGAGCACAAAATTGCTTGAATTGATGGTCACATTACCTAAATAATTGCCAGATCTATTTTACTTTGTGCTGTATAGACTCAGCCTAATAAAAACAAATGCTGTTGTATTTTTTCCCCAGTCTATCTCCTCTCCCCCGAGAAAGTTTCCCTTCTATTTAACAGGGTCTCTTCACACAAAGAAAAGATACCCGGCAAGCCATCTGACTTATTGCTTGCTACTATTTTGCATTTATATGACTCTTTTCCGTGGAAGAAATTAAGATACTTTATACAACTTATTAGCTAAACAGATTGACAGCTTAATTAGGAAAAGAGAAACAGATTGTGGGTGTCTTTTTGTGACTGCCTTTCCTACCCGCTCATGTAGAACACTTGGTCAGATGTCCCTGTGACATGGGACCAAGATGGGGAGATGGTCTCCATTTGTGGTGTGAGGCATCTCAGCTGCATGGGAGAGCTTGTCACAGCAGGAAGAACACTACTAAATAGGTCAGGGCAACTGACAATCTTGCCCCTAGAACCCCTGTTTACTCACGAAAGCAGACACAGCAAATTTTGATAGCAGCTCTTAGTGTGTCAACTCTTCTAACTTTTGTATACAAACCCTCCCTCTCCAAGTCCTGTTCCTTCCATCTCTAACTCCTCTACCAATTCCTTTTCTTTTGCCTTTGAATTCCTGACTACTATACCCATCCCAGCACCAGCACCCTCACCACATATGTCTGCCCACCTCTTTGGCAGGTCAACTGTATTTCTGTGAAGTTTCTTAGCTACCCCGCCCCCCAAATGGTCCTCAGGGACCTGAGAGAATCTTCCCTGAAGATGAACCTCAGCAGAGCCCCTACGGAGGTAAAGGCAGCACCACAGTCTACTGGATGCCTATGAGAAGGCTGTAGCTGGGCCCAGGATGAGGAAGAACCTTGAGAGAAATAAGGAATACCATCTCTTTCATGATACGTATGTCTGAAACCTCTCTCATGCCTCAGAAACTTTAGCTTCCATGTTGGGACCCAAGAAGTGCTGCTATAGGGTTTTTGTAGTAGAGTCAGCCACAGTGGATGGGCTTTAGCGATGTGGTGCATTTTGGGTCCGGCACTCCACTGATTGTTGTACCTAGTAAGTTTGTCTTTTCTCATTTCTATGGGTTACTATGTCTGTAAGTCATACAGAGTTCTTCATCTCCCCTCCCCATTTCCCACCTAGTCTCTGATGGCATACAGTTTCTACCTGCTCAGATAGCTTGACCACCAAGAAGGTCAAATTCATTTTTTTAAAAATACTGTGGGCTGATTCCTTTCAATGCTGCCAATAACAAAGGGGAAACAGCATAGCCTGGGACCTAATCTATGCTCAGTCGCTGCCATGGGAGGACAGTCATGTCTTCTTCTCCCCTGTCATGAGGCTTCAGAATTCTGCTAACCTTTTCCATGCCTGTCTCTTCTGGCAGATGGAGTGGTTATGCTCACCAACTGTCTTGTAGAAAAACACACAAGACAGATGGAGTCTCCTTTAGTTTTCACTAAGAAAGCTTTTGGGTTAGTGATTTTGACAATAAACTTCAGCTAACATATCCCCTGCTACCAGGTTAATAATACCTTGACTTGAACAATCACATTTTCCCCATCTTGTTCAAAATGCATTTCGATGCTGTAACCCACTGCACACAGCCACCCCTTCTTCTTTTCACAATGTCCTCTAATGAGGTAAACAAGATCATGCATCATCAAACATATTTCACAGCCAGAAAAGATGAAGCACAGACAAGTTAAAT